GCGTTTGATATCAGATCAAAAACCCTTAAATCTGACAAAGACATACCTTCGGTATTAACTCGGGGATACATGTACTGTATACTTTTTGCACTTTAAGACGATTTGATATCGAAATTACCCGCCTTAGTCGCACAGAAACTGCGATGCGTCCTGAATAGGCTGTGCACGTTCCCGTAATCAGTTTCTGGCAGACAGTCACTTTTTGGCACAACACCTGTCTGAATGCATTTCACATGCATCGGCTTATTTCCATGAAGCATGTCATACTGTTTCTACTGATCCGGGAGAAACACTACGCACCGTGGTTCTGGAAATCTTATTAATATTCATGAGCGAAGCCCTACATGATTGGCTGGCTGATTAATATTTATGAGAGGGGTACTACCTGATTGGCCAGTGAACACCGACATGTGCTGCCTGTTTTTTCTGCCTAAGGCAGGGGTGTCCAAATCCAGTCCTGGGGGGCCGGAGCCCAGTGTAGCTTAGTTCTTTACCTGTTCCACCATCAATGATTCAGCTCAAAAGCTGTGTGTTAATTAGCACAAGCAATTGAACAGGTGTGTTAAATGAGGGGAAACCCAAAAATGTGCAGGACTCTGGCCCTGCTCATTTTTCTGCACATTTTTCCAGAACCACCCTGTAAAAATGCAAATTCACATTTCGCACTTGAGAAGAGAGTCCCGTGTCACTGCCTACGGGTGCCGTCTTAGGACAATACTAACGAATCTCACACAGAAAACTCATACACTCACGGCATGTGCAAAATGAGCAAATGCAAAGGATTCTTTTTTGTGAAATTAAAGATGTACAACATCAGAATATATTTTAACCATCTTACACTCCCACACAAACACAAAGACAATATGAACAGCTATAAAGTATTTGTAAAAAATATTTTTTAAGACTATTAAATGAATTGATAGTGTTTTTGGTGGTGATTTTGATGTTTTGTTTTTCTCATTTGGATGTTGTCTAAAATGACACAGAAACTCACACGCAAAAAGCCACATGCATCACAACAATTGTGTGAATACAACCTTAACATAGTATCAATGTTATTATTAATAAAAACACGCAGACACACTTACATTTCTGTAAGCCTGGTCTGGTCATGCACTCTCCACCATGGTCCACACTACAGGAGAAGCAGAATGACATACTGTAGTGCTGCTGTATCCATTTATTTATTGGTGCCTCTTCTTCACATACATGCATAAGTATCTGTAGCGTGTCAGACACACACTCTGTACTCACTTCAGCTTCTCCAGTTTACAGCTGGGATCCTCCAGTACAGCAGAGAGCAGCTTCACTCCTGAGTCTCCTGGGTNTACTCACTTCAGCTTCTCCAGTTTACAGCTGGGATCCTCCAGTACAGCAGAGAGCAGCTTCACTCCTGAGTCTCCTGGGTGATTGTAGCTCAGATCCAGCTCTCTCAGGTGTGAGGGGTTTGACCTCAGAGCTGAAGCCAGGGAAGAACAGCCTTCTTCTGTGACTCTACAGCCTGACAGCCTGCAAAGACACAGACAAAAATTCCCCAATAAATAAGATCACCTCACCATTACAAGCATTACTTTTAAGTAAAAGTGACTCCTCTAATAAATATTTCAATAATCACACCATCCGAACATTTTATCAAGAACATATACTCCTCAGAACAAGAACCAGATCCAGTTGATATAGAATCATTTTAAGTAATCTAGACTTACTCATATTAACCAATGAAATAGCAGATGCCCTTGATGCACCATTAACATCAGAATAACTCCATAAGGTCCTCAACCAAATGCCTAACAACCAGTCCCCCAGACCAGATGGTTTCCCAGCAGAAATCCATAAACATTTTTGGGACGTATTATCTCCACTCTTCAATAGACTTGTAAGAGAAATTAAACATACATCACAAATCCTATCACATATGAGCATGGCGACCATTACAGTGTTATTGAGACCTGATAAAGACCCAACACAGCCCTCCAATTACCGGCCATCACAGTGTTATTGAAACCTCACACACTCATACACACGTACCCTGTCACAGACACACTCACACACACGTACCCTGCCGCAGACACTCTCGTACACGCGCACCATGCCGCAGACACTGTCATACATACAGCACATATGTCACACACTCAAATATCACACTCACCATTTTCCTACCAATTTCACAGCCTCATTGAATCTGTCCATTGTTTGTTGTACTTTAGTGTTGTTTTGTGCAAATAAATGTCTTTCACAAATCAATTGTCGTCTTGTGGTCATTCAGACAGAAGCCAGTGTACTATCCAATGAACTCCCAAAGCTTTCAGATAGATTTTGGTAGTTGTGGGATTTGGTGTAACATGAGACTGATTACATTGCCAAATTATCACCCAGCACCTACAGTTAGAAACTGAAAGACAGACTTACCCAATTAGATGAGATTAGTGGTCCAGAAGGTGACATATTTTATTAGCCTAAAAGTGGATTTTTCTATGTGCATGTGGTGCAGAACAGATTCAGCTCAGCTAACCTCTTCTTATATGTAAGACATTCCTCTGAAACCAGGAATCATTCTTGTAGCCCTACATTGAACCCTTTCCAAGGCAGCAATGTCCTTTTTAAGGTATTGTGACCAAATCTGCACACAATATCCTTGGTGGGGTTTTACTAAGGAATTGTATAATCACCTCCTTTGACTTAGGGCGTTCTTCCACCGCACCAGGTACCGTACTTTCGGTACTTCCATAAAGTGCCGAAAGTTTGGTACTTCTTTCATGTCGGTTTTCCACTGGCGTAAAAAATGGTACCGGCGCCAAATGACATCATCAGTGACCGCCCCTGACTGACAGCACAAAATTAACACTAACAGTTGAGGCTGGAAAATGCGGTTTATTGTTATGTCAGCTTCT